GAGAAAATGTTGCTGCTGGACTGCACAATCTGGCACCATTTCTTGCTACCAAATCCTTTCTTTCGCTTGGTGCCACTTTGTTTACTGCCAATAACATGTATATGGTGGACAGAAAGCACTGAGTCACAGGTTTGGCAGAACCTACATTACCTTAAGGTAGGGATGGGACGCTCGATACTGATGTGTCGAGATCCTGGAGCACAGACGTTTCAAAACACTGCTCCAAAGCGTTGTTCAAACGTTAATGTCAAGTGACCGCAGGGAAGCGATGTGTTTCACCCCTGTTTCGACAGGTGGCACACCTGCCGCTTGTACGGTTGATTCACAGTGTTTGGAACAAACCACACATCAGCCTCTAACTCATTTGACAGATTTGTTCCAAGGACACACAATCCTTTGATTTATTGGCAGGAATGACGTACTGTAGTATATCCGCACCTGTAGGCCTATAATGGCAAAAAAATACTTATCTTTGCCAGCAACAAATGGTCCATTTGACCAAACTTTTTAAAGGCTGGTGATGTCAATTATGAAAAAAACCTGACTCAGCCCCCAAACAGCTGAATATTTCTGAATAAAACTTTTGACATATAACCAGAGTGAGACATTGTTCCACTTTTCATTTATCATTCTTGAAACAACTTCAACTTTACTCATTAACAGATTTTTAATCCATTACACCTCATCACTGCCAGCACTCATTACTATTATTAATTATTATTACACTAGGGCCTATGTCTTTCCTGCTAATTATCATTACACCTCTGTTAATAAGCTACTGTATAATACTGTAGATATCCACATTAATTATTATATTCTTAGATTTGTTTACTTTATTATATTCTCTACTCACTAACTTCAAGTACCTAGTATTTCTATTCGTTTTATGCCTTGTGAGTATCTGCAACAAAGAATTCACCCTCATAGATCAACAAAGTATTCGGATTCTGAAAATGGATAGGGTTGTGTAAAGACATATGCCTTTAGTGTGAGAGATGTGGGTTTGATTCCCACTGTGATAAATGTGTCCCTAAGAAAGACACTTAACCTCTAGTTGCTCCAAAGCTGCGCCCTCTGACGTAGCAACTGTGATTGGCTTTTGAGAAAATCGTCGGCTAAATGAGTGATTACTTATGAAACAACACACAGATGTGTTTTATTAAACACACTTTTATTTCAATCCCCATCTGCTGTCTCTGACATTTTGAAAGCGTTTGTGTGTTGTCCTGTTGGTTGTGTATTGATAAGTGATATGTTGATATGTTTAGAATTGTAAGCACTGGTCAGTTATTGTTTCAATAAAACCCCTACCAAGATGTGTCGATATCAAAAGGAGTCACCGTGGAGATGGGTATCAAAGCATTTCAAAGTCTGGACACAAATCCAGCACAATTAGTTCAAACGTTTCAGTGTTTCACAAATCCTCCCTTTGCCTTTCACTACCTAAAGACAACATGACTGATTAGAGTCCTCTGCCTTCTTTGTTAGGGTGTCACTCATGATTCCACACCCCTCTAAGTTGAAGCCACGCCTCATACACACAATCTGTGCCAAAACTGATATAAATTGATCTGACAGTGAAAATAAGATTTGAACCTTTGCAAAAAATTGTTTGGATTCTGAAAACATAAAATGTGGGTCTGATGCAGTTAGACTTGTGAAATAAAAATAAGCGCTTACGTGAAATGTCAGAAGTTGGTTAGGTTTAGAAAAACATCATGGTTTTGGTTAAAATGACTATTTTACTTACATAACCTATGTAACGGTAAAGGAACACTGGTCTTCTGGGTTAGTTAAGTTTACTGTAGAATAGAGCCATACTGTTCAGCAACCCCCTGCCTATTTCCATGGCAAGGACCCACCCAATCTCACCTGATCTCACTCACTCCTAATCAATGCTCTACTTATACTCCACCCATTGCCTTTGTTCTGGTTGGCAGCAACACAAACCATATGTGAGGGCCCTCCGTCTCTGTGATTCAGATATACATCTATGGTTGTGCGTGATAAAGTGAGTTTATTGCCTTTTTCTTATTTGATTTGTCTTAATGATTATTTGTAAACTTGACGTGATTGAATGCTTGACTAGTACATACCGGTACATAATAATAATAATAATAATAATCCTTATTTGTAGAGCACTTTTCAAAAACAAGTTACAAAGTCCTTTAAAAGTGTAAAGACAATAATACCCAAGAGACAATAATACAAAAAAAACAATACAAGATAAAAGCATAAAACATTGAAAAGACTAAAATACAGATAAATATAAAATTAGTAAAATACAATAAAATAAAAGGGATAAAATAAAGTAAAATAAGATCGGGAAAGGCTCTCCTATAGAAGTATGTTTTAAGAAGGACTTAAAAGAGTTCACTGACTCAGCTGACCTGATTTCCTCGGCAGGCTGTTCCAGAGCCTCGGGGCCCTGACAGCAAACGCTCTGTCCCCTTTAGTTTTCAGTCGAGACTCTGGAACAGACAACAGACCTCTGCCGAGGATCTCAAGGTACGTGCTGGTGCGTATGGGACTAAAAGGTCAGAAATATAACAAGGCGAGAGGCCATGAAGAGCTTTAAAAGTGATCAATAGAATTTTAAAGTCAATTCTAAAACATACTGGGAGCCAGTGTAATGAAGCTAAAATAGGAGTAATGTGGTCATATTTCTTTGTTCTGGCAGCTGAGTTCTGGACAGTCTGGAGTCGATCAATAGATTTTTGGGTTAAACAGGTGAAAAGGCTGTTGCAATAATCCAGGCGTGATGAGATGAAGGCGTGTAAAATGGTCTCGGTGTCCTTAAAAGTTAACATAGATCGAATTTTTGCTATATTTCTAAGTTGATAAAAACATGATTGAACAAGCTTTGTGGTGTGCTGCTCGAAATTTAAATTACTATCAAACCAAACACCAAGGTTCTTTGCCACAGGCTTAATGTGATTTACTAGGAACCAGCAGATGGCAGTATTTGATTTGCCATCTGCTGAGACCCGATGACCAGGATTTCTGTTTTGTCTGAGTTCAGCTGGAGGAAATTATTTGACATCCATTTTTTAACTTCACAAAGGCAGTTGTTAAGTGAACTCAGCATTCCAGGGTCTGTGGATCTGACGGGCAAGTATATTTGTGTGTCATCAGCATAAATATGAAAAGAAATGCCATGTTTATGGATAATATGTCCAAGGGGAAGCAGATACAAGGAAAACAAAATGGGTCCTAAGACCGACCCCTGAGGCACACCATATTTAACTGGACAGAACGAAGAGACATAGTTGTTTACAGACACGCAAAACTTCCTATTTGACAGGTAGGATGAAAACCATTCTAGGGCAGTACCAGAGATCCCCACCCAGTGCCTCAGTCTGTCTAACATGATGTTGTGATCAATGGTGTCAAAAGCAGCGCTAAGGTCCAGGAGTACCAGGACTGAGCACATACCTTCATCAGCAGACATTAAAAGGTCATTGGTGACTTTAAGCAGGGCAGTCTCAGTGCTGTGGTACTTCCTAAAACCAGACTGAAACTTTTCAAATATTTTGTTATTTTCCAGTACAGTGAGCAGCTGTTTGGACACAATTCTTTCTAGAATCTTTGCAATAAAAGGCAGTTTTGAAATTGGTCTAAAATTATGTGGGAGGGAGGGATCTAAACCAGGTTTCTTTAAAAGTGGGTTCACGCAAGCCGTTTTAAAATAATCAGGGACACAACCAGTAGATAGGGAACTGTTGAAAACAGAGATCAAATGGGGCCCAACAGAATCCATTACTTTCAGTAAAAATTTGTAGGTATTACATCAAGTGGGCTGGAGGACACTCATTTGTGATAATGTTTTTAAAAGCTCAGACAAGTCGATGGGACAAAACTGGTTAAAACTCTCTTGTTGCTGGTGAGGAACCTCTGAGTAAGAGGCCGCGGGGGAAAGTAGATGCTATATTCCTCATTTTGATTGTTTGCCTTGAGACTACAGAGATCACATTGTGTGTAAGTGCACAGTGCATGGTTTTGTTAATTGTAGTTCTTAAGGAACGGCAGAAAACAGTATAACTTTGACCATGATGAATTTATTATATCATTTAATTGTTAAATAAATGTCTGTGTTATGTTGTACTTTATAATTTCAGTAGTGGTACGCCTACCCTTCATCCCCTTTGGTTAGAGTACAAATGTTTATTGTTTGTTAGGCCTAGTGTTAAGTGTTATGTTATACAGTATAGTAATTCTTGTGTTTCTCTGTTTATCATTTTGTAGAAAACATAACCGTCAAGCCATTTGCCCCTTCTGCATTCTTATCGATGTACCATGGTGATTTTCCTGTGAACCAAATATAGAAAGATTTTACATTTACTAAGTTTACTTTCTGGTACATTGAGATTATCTTTCTCACACTGACTTAAGCCAGCAGTGCAGAACTGTTGACACTTCTTCTGAGTTGCTGCTTTGATATGGTTGCTCCTATGTTCAGCTTTAGCAAAACAATCGTTGCAGGGTGGCATAAAATGACAAAATAGTTTGCAGGCACGGGACCGTCGACACAGACAACGGATTTTAAAAAAACAAACTCTGGTATACTTCATATACACAGAGATTAAACTGGCGATGATAGGTCTAATCAGTAGTGTGTGAAGTTGTTTGGTAAGGGCTTGATAGTGGACGCAGTCACGGCCGCATTTCTGGCATCCAGCGGAGCGTTGATGCTGTTAACAAGAAAATAAGTCCATTTACAAGTGATGAGAAGAGAAAGGAAACTGTTGTGTCCAAAGACCAGAGGAAACCTGGTGGTGGCTCCTCCTGTGCTCTCTCACTGACCCCGGCAGAAACCGTACTCTTCTTGGGAAAGTTAATGATGAAGGTAAAAAATAATAGCCTAATGCGGCTGCGGGCTAACATCATCATGTTTTTCATGTATTTCCTGAATTTAATGATCTCCCATCAAAGACCTGCTCAGCAAGTCTGATTGTAGTTTCTGGTGTGCTCTGTGTTACAGTGATACAGGCTCAGATGGCTGGGGAGTGACTTACACCTCTACTCAGATCTGTGCCTTAAAAGGATCAACAGTGGAAATAAGCTGCACCTACACATACCCATCCAGAATAAATAGCCGTGATACTAAAGTTGAGGAAACATTCTGGTTTACTCAAATGAATAGATATGTACCTGTGGATCTGAGAACAGACTCAAGGTACGCAGGTCGTTTGCGGTACAGTTGTTCTAACAACATCTGCACTCTGAGAATCACAGACCTGAGAGAGAGCGACTCAGCTGAGTACAAGTTCAGGTTCATAACAAACAACCAGGTGGGAAATATATTGGTTCACCTGGAGTCACTTTGTCTGTCACAGGTAACATTTTCATTCATACGTTAATTATTTCCAAATGTTGAATATCTTGAAAACAATAATATAAAAGTGTTGTGTGTATTTTTTTTCATGTGTGTATGTTGACAGTTTTGTATAAAATAACGTTCCTGTTCCTTCTTCACAAATCCAGGTCTCCAGGTGCATGAAATCAGATCTACATATTCAACCTGGGCAGAGCTGAAGTGTCACAGCAGCTGTCATCTACCTGATCATTCTTCCTACGTCTGGTACAAGAATGGAAGAAAATTCAGAGAGAAACATCTTCTTCTTATTCAGACTACTTTTATTCTGCATACAGTTATTCCTGTGCTGTGAAAGGACTGGAGGGTTTCCCCTCTCCTGTGTGTGAGTTTACTGCACAATCTTTTACTAACAAAACACCATGTGGTGTAGCTGCATAACCACATTTTAATGTATATAATTATCTAAATGTATTGTGACTTCTCACCAACTCTGTTAAAAAAAAAAAGCTCAAGTTTTTTTTAATCTTTCAGGTGTCTATGGTCAAACCTGCAACAGAGTGACTTACACTGACAGAAGCATCTGTGCCGTCAAAGGCTCATCAGTGAACATTTCTTGTACTTACAACAGTTATGACACATATATCAGATCTAAATTCTGGTTCAGTCCTGAACGTAGTCTTCAGTGGCAGAATCCCTCACAGCCTGAGGACCTTAGTGAAGACTCCCAGTATGCAGGTCGTGTTCAGGTCCTTGAAACAGAGAGAGGACGCTCCACTCTGAGAATCACTGACCTGAGAGAGAGCGACTCAGCTGAGTATCACTTCAAATTCACAGCAGGAAGCTTTGAATGGAGGAGTAATTTACCTGGTACAACTCTGACTGTCACAGGTACTGATGAACACAAACTGTAACAGCACATTTAAACAATCGATGACAAGTGAATGTGCTGAATAGTGATCCTGATGGGAAATCATTTTACGTTTTTATATGATTGTCATAATGTCCTCTAGCTTGCTTATAACTCAGGAATGTCTGTATTCAGCTAAAACAGCTCAGGCTAATCTTCCTTTGTCAATTGATGACACATTTGTTTAAACAGTAAAATGAGAACATTCGTTGATGTACTGACAATTTTTAAATACTTATTGTGTCCATTTATGTCCATGTAGGGCCAAAGAGGGAAGTGTGGTAGCAGAAAATCTCTTCCTATATGTGTTTCAATCCATGCACTTGGATTACAATATACATACTCGTATATAAGTACTTGTCCTTAGTCTATTATATTATGTTGTCTATGTACAGATGTTTAGGCTGTGGTATATAGGAACAGCTTTTTAGGTTTACTGTTCCCTCTGTGCTCTCTCATTCTGTATTGGTATAGTCTTAATGATGGCCAAGGAGCCTCTGGTCCCTACACTTACTGTGACAATGAGCTAAATTGTTAAGCGCTGTAGCATACCTAGATTTGTTATGCATTTTAATAAATTTATGAGAATTAATACCCAATTATGAATTTTAATATTCATAAAAATCAACCATATTCCTCGTTTCAGGGCACCACCGGAGTTATTATAATCCTAGAGTCTCCCGACCTCTAGGTAGTTTAATAATTATACAATTATTACCAGTGATCAGTTAGTTAATAATCGCTCAATTATCTTAAATCAGTCAGTCAGTCTCATATCTAAAGGGTCAATTCTCTTGGCAGGGACGTAGAAATAGGCAACACACACAATTCTTGATTATATTACAGTGAATTTATTCTCTAACTAATGTGATAAAAAGGATGGTTAAATACAGGGAAAATAAACAATTGCTGAACAATGAGAAATGGAGGTTCGATTGTGGGAAGCATTTGACTCATACGGCATAGGAGAACTAATGAAAGTAAGCTAACGTTATGAGTTTAGGAGTTAAAAGGAAATCTCTGATCACAGAATGTGTGTTAAGTCTTACTGTTTGTCGACAGCCTGCTTTTGGCCTGTTGCACGGGTCCCACACTAGCTGCCGATCCTGGCTTTTTGCTAGGGATTCTCCGGGGTTCTCCGTGTCTAATTGAAAATGCCTCCTCTGTCTGGCAATTAGGCTGTTTTCAGGTTTCCTTCGTTGCCGCTGGCGACGTGGCTTGGTCTGACCACGGTGAAGTTGACTTGATGAAAAAGCTTAAAAATGGAACTTGGTCGTTCCTGAATTAGTCCAGTGTAACTTAATGGACTGATAACTTTAACAAAACAAAAGAAAGAGAGAAAATAAACAAACTGCGTTTCAGGTTTCCCGAGGGACTGCCTTTCTAAACTTAATGTCTAAAAAGAAATCTATTTGCACGTCTTATAATCAAATATTTTCCACAATCGAACCTCAATGGTCAAACTGTTGTACTGTTCTAAGCATTTGGTAACAGGAAACAATTGTCACATTATTGGTCTGGATATTTATACATTTAAAGGCATTTCCAAGGAGGGTATGTAAATACTTATTTCGTCCACTTGGGGGAGCTCAGGTTACATGAGGAAAGCTTAGATTAATCCAAGATCATCTCTCCTTAGGAACCGGGGAATATTGTTGATTCATCCTTAAATTCAAGATGGAGGTTACGAGTATAGTAAAACATTCCTTTGTCATCATTTCTAAAGGGATTTTGTAAGAAAGTATTATGAACAAGCATTGATTACATTAGATGAAGGAGTGTCTTGCTGAAAATAAAAACACTGCAAAAGTACTTATTTAGAGTCTTTTCAGCACTAATATCAACAACAGATAGCAACAATATGTTAACATAACTACTCAAATAGAGACAAACGTAATCAGGTAACTAAAGATTTAATTAAACTTAATTAAATGCTTTGAGTCTTTGGAGACTGCAGTCTCTGGTTATTTAAAGTTCGGCTGTCCTGGATTATGTCCCATTTGGGTGAGACAGGGGTTAGTCTTTTTTGGGGGGTAATAAAACAAAGAGCAAGGTCAGTTGCAACGGAAACATGTGTGGGGGGCCAGTTTTGATAGGCTGTTCAGGGAAATGCTAATCGCTGGTTTGTGTCCCTTTGTCAGTTTAACAGTCAGGCCCCACGTTATCAGCTTCGAAATCATAAAGGTGCCAATTTGTTGTAATTCATTTATTGTTCTACTCTCCCCAAGGAAATAGAATAATTTCCGCAGCATATATGTCTGTGTGTGATTCAGTACCACATAAAGAACAAATATTTCTGTTTTTTCTTCCCAGATCTCCAGGTTCAGGTGATCAGATCAACAGTCTACAAGAATTATACTGAGGCAGAGCTGCTTTGTCACAGCAGCTGTCGTCTACCTGATCGTCCTTCCTACGTCTGGTTCAAGAATGGACAGAAAATGGAAAGCGTGGAGACATCTTCTTATAAAGATCAGTTTTATCCCAGAGACATCATTTCCTGTGCTCTTAAAGGACATGAGGATTTCCCCTCTCCTTCAGTGTGTGAGTTTACTACACTATGTCAGGAAAAAACACACACAGCATTTTTATTTATGTAAAGAAAAAACTGCAACCAGTAGAGAAGCAATATTCAGACACACTGTGATATAACCTTGTTAAATGCTTTCCTATTACATGACATTTTTGATATTCAGGCATAGTACATGTATAACACATGTTGTTTCTCCATTGAATCTTTTGGTAGTTAAAATGTTTCTCTTATTGAGATGCTCCATTACTTCTTTTGATGATGTCAGGACCAATTGCTTTTCATATTTAGTAGTATAACTTTATAATGGAGTTACCACTTTTTGAAGAATTATTCCTGACAGACTCAACAGACATCTTAGTAGTGGTAAATCTGAAAAACATACGTAAATGCTGCTGCAACCACAGAAAAATTAACAATATGAAACTGGCAACATTTGCAAACTTTTACAACAGCTCTTTGCAACAGAATCTGAACACAAACAAGACTGAAGATTCGTGTTCAGTCTAGTAAAGATAACAAGTGTGGAGTTGATTAATATGTTATGTAGACTCAACAATTTTTTTTTACAAAACTACCAAGGAAGTGATTTGCCCGCTGGCAACACCTACAACTTCACTGAGAAGACTGACAAGACCTGTATATGGAGGCAAATGTATAGAGTTGTAGAAAATTATAAATGATTGAAGCCTTCTTACTGGCTGTCAGTTTTCACCAGCAGAAGTCAAACCTAGGACAGCTCCAGGATCAACACTCTGGACAGCCACTGTGACTAATACTAGAGATAATCAGAAAGAAACAAACAGAGAAGTTTTAATGAAAATATTCTATGATAACTTATTCTAATCTTTAAGTAAATCATGTTCATCTCTCCTCCAGATGCTCCAAAGCTTCCCTCTGTGTCAGTGAGTCCCTCTGCTGAGATAGTGGAGGGCAGTTCAGTGACTCTGACCTGCAGCAGTGATGCTAACCCAGCAGCTAAATACACCTGGTACAAGGAGAACCAAAGACTGCTCAGTGAAGAACCACAGCTTGTCTTCAGCTCCATCCAGTCCTCTGACTCTGGAGAGTATTACTGTGCAGCTGAGAACCAGCTGGGGAGGAAGACAACTAAATACATCATTAATGTGAAATGTGAGTGGAACATCTTAAATCTGTCTTTGTAGGAGAAGATTTTGCTAATTATGCTTATATCCTTCAACTGTACTTGCTTGACATACAGTCTGCTGTAATTGAGATTTGGGACTCAAACTGTCACACATCCATTTGGCAGACCACTTTCAAAATGCTGCTACACATAGGTATTCGATGTAAATACAATATGGGCCACTTTAGTAAACAAACCTTCACCTTGAATAATCTCTTTGAAAGACGGGCATGGATTAAAAATGTTTGTGCCTTTTTTTCCCTGAAACTGGGCGAAAGTTTAAACCCAAACATAAAATGTTGCACTTTGGTCACAGTAGTGCAATCCTGGCACAGTGCTGTCAATGTAGAAGAGAAGCTGAATATAATATTAGCAGGAAGAACAGAAACAGCAGGTGGAGTAAGAGCAAGACTCAGGAACATCCAATCATCAGTACTTCTCATCCTCTTTTGAGTTGAGTTTAGGTTTGTGTATAACAATAGGCCTGTCAGGTGCCAAATTATGTTATTTACTGAAGCAGTTACAGCAGGTGTACTCAATCAGTCATGTCACACAAACTTCCATGTATATAATCACACCACTAATACTGTGACACTGTAAAATTATATATATATATCAAGACAAATGGAAAACTCACTGTAACAATTCCCTCGACACAATGGAAAATATATTATAATTTATTAATTGGACTATAGCTTAAATTTGAAATGGCCCAACAGCTTTGATTTATTACTTAAATATTTAAATAATTTCACTCTAAAGTTTGAAATCTGTCTGTAATATGTTATTAGTTGAGTGAAGAAAACCACAGGTCAATCACCTAACTCACCAAGTTTGACACTGTGAAAGATGTAATGCCACTGGTGCTGTGCAAACCACATGATAAATGCACATGGCTTGCTTTAAAACAGTAAATGTTTTGCCCACAATGTGGCAAGTTTTTGGGTAAATGTTTTGCGATTCACGCTGGAGGACACCAAATTTCTTCACAGAAAAGGGTCACGAAGAGGACACTTGTGGGCAGGTTTCATGTACAGGTCTGTTAGTGGTTATTATAGCCTGCTAGCTAGATTTACAGAGGCGAACACGGCCTTACTCATGAAACAGAATTTCTAAAGCAGGTGGATAACAAAAGTAACCACTGGGACATCAGAATAATGAATCAATGAATTGTATTGCTCCTCCTAGCTTGTGGCAGCCACTGCCTAAAAACAGGCCTGTAAAGAAATATTGACAAG